ACTTCAAACTTGTCACTGATCAACGTTCAGTAGCATTCATGTTTGACAAGATTCATAAAGGCAAAATCAAGAACGATAAAATAATGCGTTGGAGAATTGAGCTATCCCCTTATCAATATGACATCATTTATCGTCCTGGAAGGGATAATCAAGCTGCTGATACATTTTCCCGTAGTTTCTGCGGTTCCTTGCAGTCAGTGTGCGACTTGAAATTTCTCCATGACTCTATGTGCCATCCTGGAGTTGTCCGAATGATGCATTTTGTACGCTCGAGAAACCTTCCATTCTCCCTTGACGAGGTGCGCAATGTAACCAGTAAATGCGTGACATGCTGTGAGTTAAAGCCTCAATTTTACAATCCCTCTAATTTCAAACTCATAAAAGCAACCCAACCTTTTGAAAGGTTAAGCATCGACTTTAAAGGACCTCTACCGTCAGCTAGCCGCAATCACTATCTGCTCACGCTGATCGATGAATATTCTCGATTCCCCTTTGCATTCGCCTGCCCCGACATGTCGTCTCAAACGGTAATGAATTGCCTTTGCCAACTGTTTTCGATTTTCGGTATGCCTTCTTACATACATACCGACAGAGGCGCTGCTTTCATGTCTACCGAATTACGGGCATTTCTTCTGGAGAAAGGCGTAGCAACCAGTCGTACTACCTCATACAATCCTCAAGCCAATGGGCAGGTCGAGCGCCTCAATGGAACACTTTGGCGTGCCATCACTCTAGCATTAAGATCACGGGGCCTACCAACGGCACAATGGGAGTCTGTTCTACTCGACGCCTTGCATTCCATCAGATCTTTGCTCTGTACTGCAACGAACGCCACGCCACACGAACGACTGTTTACCTATAACCGAAGATCGACATCTGGGACAACTCTTCCTACTTGGCTCACTGTACCAGGACCAGTACTTCTCCGGCGGAGTGTTCGTCAGTCCAAATTCGATCCCCTGGTTGAAGAGGTGGAGCTATTGAATTGTAACCCGCAATTCGCTCACGTTCGCTTCGGTAATGGACGTGAAGATACAGTTGCTCTTCATCATCTGGCACCCAAAGGCGAAGATATAGATCAAGTTGAAAATTCAATACCGGAGGGCGACGCAATTCCTGAGCAACAAGTAAATGGGGATGCGACCACTGATCCTAATATTCTTCGTGAAGAAAATACAACTGAAACGAACAACGGGCGTATTCTTTTGGAAAAACAACAACGTGTACGGCCTTACAATTTGCGTACCAGAGAAGCGTGACATAATGGCTCATTCCTTTTCAAGCCGCAGTGAATGTTGTGAACTTTTCTTATAATACGTATCTAGTCATATTCATATCTCTACCGCTATTAACACTCTTTTTTTCCTTTATATGTTTAAGCCATTCCGGCTTCATTGTAAAATGAATAAAGCCTAAATTCTTGGTTCATTCGTCTTTTCAAGATTCAAGCATCACTCATCGTTCTAAGACTCAGTCACCTTCGTAACAGTGATTGCTGCGTATTATTGATTGTCCGGTATTTTCATCACCTTTATTTTCCGTCTTCGCTGCCGGAATAATACAAACGCACGCGTAATTTATTATTTTATCTATTTGAACGCGTAAACATTTGGTATAATATGGCACCAAGAACGATGCGCCACACAATAATAATAAAACAACATAGACCAAGAGTAAAAATATGAGTAGAGAACGGATAAAGAACTTCATTTGGAAGGAAAAGTCATACTTAACAAGTTCGTTAACTATCATCGCCAGTGATTACGATTCTCCGCCATATCCGATAACGTTTTGAGCTATCTCTCGGACCCCAACCAGGGAGTCGTGACACACCAACCGATGCTAATCTAGCACAAACATCCTTCATCCCACGACCTCATGTCATGGACTGACCACCCCTCTGCCTTTTCCATCCCGTCCCAGGGCTGGCTAGCGAACAGAGGCCTGTACGGAGGCCTCTGGGATAACATTCGAAGCACATGTCCAAGCCACCGGAGCCGGTGTTTCCAGATGACGACACTCAATGAATGGTGATCTCCACTGTGTTCAAACACACGCTGCCGAGCCTCAGAATTACTCACGCGATGATGCCATCGAACGCAAGCAATCCTGCGGAGACAGCGATGATCGAGCACGCAGAGTCGCCACACATCCTCAGCCTACTCGGAGAGGCCAGGTTTCACAGGCGGAGAGCAGGGCAACCCGCACCGAAGCATTGTATACCCGACCTTTGACAGCCAGGCTAACGTCGCGACGGCGCCAGAGGTGGTTCAAGTTGATGTATGCAACCCTAGCCTTCATTATACGGTTGGAAATCTCATCCGTCACCCCTCCCTCCGCCAGCACTCACACAACTACCCAGGTACACAAACTTATCAACAACTTCAAGCGGTTCACCTGCAAGAGTGAGGGCAGGTACAGGCTCCTGCCAATCTTGTAACAGTACTTTGCACTTAGACGGCGCAAAGTACATACCATACTTACAGACACTGATCACCAACTGATTAAGTGCGATTTGGGCAGCCTGCATGCTATCGAACAGTAAGACGATATCGTTTGCATACTCGAGGTCGAAAAGTCTATCTCCAGGTAGCAGATCTACACCACCTTCACGCACATCCTTCACAGCTGATTCAAGCACGTCATCGATGGCATAGTTAAAGAGAAATGGAGAGATCACGCAACCCTGTCTAACTCCACTGTTGGTTGGGAACAGTGATGATAGTTGGTTGTATGCCCTCACTCTACCCGAGGTGATTCTGTATAGGGCTTTCAAGATGTTAACAAATTTCTGTTGTACACCTCTCTCTAACAGACAGTTCCAGAGCACATTTCTGTCCAACGAATCGAAAGCAGCCCTAATATCAAGAAACACAACGATCGTTGGCCTGCAATACGTGTGGCGGTATTCCAACAACTGACGAAGGTAGAACACATGATTAATGCATCCACGACCTGGATGAAACCCAGTCTGCTCTTCGCGAATCAATCCCTCACGTATTTTGCACAGCCTGCGAAGCAAGACAGCAGCCAATATTTTAGACGCGACTGGTAGCAGACTGATACCCCTCTGATTATCACATGAATAACGTCGACCCTTTTTAAAGATGGGGGACGATAATGGCCTCGATCCACATTGATGGTACACTCTCAGTCTCTCATACTTTCTTGAATAACCCAGTTAGAGCCATTTTGAGAGTCTCACCATCATCTTGAAAAAGAGCCGAGGGTGAATTGTCTGGGCCGGGCGCCTTATGGCTTTCAATACTTGGAGTTCCTTACGGACCTCCGCTTCGGTGGGTTGGTCGGTACTAAACTGTTACTTGAAATCATTGTTAATAGCGCGCGATGAGTTTCAATGGGAGTTTGTTCATTGTGTGAGGGCTGAGATGCTGCCCGGGCGCCCAGACCGAAACAGGTGGTTTTATAAGGGACCACCCCCAGAGCCTTTGACTTACAGTCTAATTCTCAAGGCAGCGGAGCAATGTTAGGACTGCATCCCCATGGTTTCCGGTGACCAATATGGGTCCATACGCCATTTGATCCGATTAGATTCTGAATCCGATGTACCTCATGGCAACTGCTTTTAGTCTAATCGCTATTCAGAAAACCTTCCTGACATGGTAGGGGCTGCAAGGACAGAGTACCAGTCAATTTAGCTACTTGGGTCATTGCGGTATTCAAGCCCGGTCACTACGGCAAGGTAACAGTTATCGGCCGGGAAAACGCGTAAGCTGAGACAACCCCAACGAGGTGGTCGCTGTCGAAATCTCAGATCGAACAAAAATGGCTCGTTTGGCATTTATCAACCTGCATCGTCTCTGGCATAGTCGTGATATATGGTTGGTTATCTGTCAATGGAGGTGTGTACCCCCCTATTTCCCCCTTAATATCTATCGGACTTAGTGATTAGATATTTTAGTTGATATCGGTAGCACAGCGGTTATGACCCTCGCCGACCATGCACATGGTCCGGGATTCGATCCCCTGCGGACGCACACCTGATATCTATGGTCGACCTGCAAAAATTGAGCTACCTATATCATCTACTGAAAATTCCATACTTGTACCAAAAATACTGTGTAGTTTCAAGCTATAATCAAAAATATCACCTTAAATCAGTGTTATGACGGAGAGAGGTTGTCAGAGATGATCAGGAAAGCTTTGTGTCCTTATGAAAGTGTGTGCAGCTTGTGTATCTGTGGATGGTTATTAGTTTTCGGCTACCTACCATGGGAGTTGACTTCTTCTTTGAAGGGTGTACCTGAAAACAGGAGCGTTAATTCTGCGTGACCCTACAGCCTAGGATAAAAAACTACTTCAGGCCAATTATAAACGCAGCCTGTTTGAAGTGGTTTTTGGAGTTGTACTCATATTAAAATCTTACCTCCGGCTGAAAACCGCTGCAAGGTAAGGCATGATGTACAATTCTTGGGTCGAACTCTTCTAACCCCACTTCTCTCTTGCTCGACGCGACAAGATAGCTGGCTTGTCGACAGGACTCTTCACCAGTATTCACCCGCTAATGAGGGGAGGGGGAGAGTCATATTGTGGTTCCAGCTAAGAAGGACAGCAGAAAAGAGGATGAAATGGAGATCTGCCCCAACTGAAACCCTATACAGTTCCTCTAGGAACCCACAGGAATAATAATGCATAACTATTTAGTGATATGATGGTGAGACTATCTTAAATGCAAGTGGCTCTCGCGCCAAACCTAAAGAATAATTCTGAAGATTGTTCTGGTTTTGAACCTTATCGTTACTATTCAGGTTTCGCACTTAACTCACCTTCATACAATACGTCTTGCATTCTTAGTGGCGAACTTTGGGCTTTTAGCTTTGATATTTCCAGTAGTGATGGTATGACGTTTTTATTTTTTACTGCATTGGGTCGCTAGCCTCACCTCCAACCACCATACATATATGCGTGTTTCTGCATATTGATCAACTCATCAACGTGTTCATCGTCTGCGTTTTTATTATTTTATTCTTTCTGAACAGATCATATTAAACCGTATACCTTAATCGATGATATCTTTGATCAAGTGAAGCCAGGATTATCTGCCTATGCTGAAAAGCCAGATGATGCTGCCAATAGTTTAATCAAGCTGATAAATACTGCTGAAAAAAGTCTACCCTCTGGTACATGCCATAATACACCAGTGATGCTGAGAGCTACAGCTGGCCTACGATTGTTATCAGTTGTTAAAGCGGAGAATATACTAAAAGCTGTATGTTATTATTTTATTTATTGGATTTGCTCCGTTATTCTTCTTCTTATTCTTCTGGATTTCTAGTGGAGTATAGGGCTTCAGCCTTGGCACTTCTCCATTTCGTCCTATTCTCTGAAGTTTTTCTTTTATCTGGTTCCAGGATCTTTCATTTCAACCCTCCTTAAACGACCTTCCTGTCACATTAGGGTCCGCACCTAACTCTTCGCTTTCCAACTGGGTTTTATTCGAGGGCATTACTGATGCATGTTGTCACTAAACAGTATCCTGACTGCGTATGTTCAATTCACCCATCTTCATTTCCCTCTGCATATTTATCGGGCATTAGGCAGGTCCTTTGTTAGTTCGTTACTTCTTGCTTATCCTTTGTGGTCGGTTATTTGATCTTCAATATACAGCCAGTGAAGGCAGCTGTTGGTAAAAGCCTGCAGAAGCCTGTTGAAAATGCTTTTTGGTGACGCGTGCTCCAAGTCTCTGAACCATATATTGGAAGCACTCACTGACTTGACATTAGTGCTGAAAATCTGAATTTTGTTCCTTATGTCGAGTGAGTAGAGTGGATTTCCACACTAATTTTGAATGTCTATTTCACCTTAGCAGACCTGCCTTTGACATTGCCATCTGTTCCATTGCATACAGTTGAAACTATGCTGAGTAGATATGTGAAAAAAGCAACTACCTCCAGATTTCTCCCGTCAGCACTGATTGGTGCTTGCTGTTGTTAGTCAAGTATTTTCATCACCTCTGTCTTCTCAATATTCACTTAAACAGTCTTGTCTTCCCTACCTGCCTCTTCTTCTGACTTGTTTGATATTCGTCTGTAGATCTTCGAGTTTGGTGAAATTAGGTATAAGTCGTCCGCGAAATCCAAATCATCTGGAGTCTTGTTGTTGGTCCAACGTACTCTTGTCTACTCAGCTATACATAATCTGGTGAAAAGAGTTTTTAGAGTGAATGAATTTAAAGGATAAATCAAATTGGGGTTGAATGGTCAGACTCAAGAAGGTGTTCACACATGGAAGAATCCGCCTTCCTATGCTCCTTTTATTCATCAACTAAACTGACACAGCGTTTGCATCTATGTGTCTTCTGAAACGAGTGCTTACAACGTCGAATGTAATCGGCTACAATGGAACATATGAATGACTAGATCTATAGAGGTGGACAAAAATGATAGTATATCCTTCACACATAGTGAAATTATAATTCGTGAAGGATTTAATCATAAGCTGACGTCAGTTAGAGAACCACTGGAAAACCTGGGAGTACTGGACAGCTGTTTCGTCCTAGTTTGGGACTCTTCATCAGTACGCGCCCACCGGGATTCGAACCCAGGACCTTCCGGTCACAAGGCGAGCTCGTAGACCATTGAGCCACTGGGACCCCATCCAATGGTCCTTGAATTCTAACTTCTGCCAGTTCACGACATAGCGCGACCGATTCGCAATGTCTTCTTCGATGAGTTACTGCCTCATCTTCAACCTGCTGTACCTTACTGGTCATGGCTTCAAGGACCATTGGATCGGGTCCCAGTGGCTCAATGGTCTACGAGCTTGCCTTGTAACCAGAAGGTCCTGGGTTCGAATCCCGGTGGGTGCGTACTGCTGAAGAGTCCCAAACTAGGACGAAACAGCTGTCCAGTACTCCCAGGTTTTCCAGTGGTTCTCTAACTGATGTCAGCTCATGATTAAATCCTCCATGCAATCAAACAAAATCCTTATAAAACCAATACTTGAAAATTATAATTTGTCTGGAGAATACCATGTGTATAAGTCAGTGATATAAACAAAGAACGTCTGAATACGCCTAGATAGAGATGGCCTTTTAATTACTCCAGCAATGTCCAACTCGTATTATGATTTGACCAAAAAACATTTTACTTGTTCTCTGTTTCTTTCATGATTATTATGTTTGTTGTTCGAAGGGTTTCTACTTCTCTATCAACTGTATCTATCGCGCAAATTTATCGAATTCTGAATAATGGAGAGTGGATAAGATTTTTCTTTCTACCTAGAGATATGCAATTGTTGAAGATGTTAGTGTACTGCCCACGTAAAGGTTGACTTTCAGTAGATCAACCTTTTCAATGTGCCATCCTCCTGTCTTCTATCTAGCATAACATCTAAGAAGTGAAAATGTGGAATTCAGCTCTTTTTCAACAGTGATAAACATAGAGCCATCAAATTCTCTAAGAAGGAGGTCAGCAGTTGGGTAGTTATCATCACATATAAAACAAGTGGCATCTATACATATTTCTTATACATATGTACACATTCATGATAATCTCTTTCTTGAACCGATTTTCAAGCTCTCTATGAAGACGCCTTTGGGGAAAAGGTCTTAAAAGAGACCCCATGACAGTCCAGTGTCTTTCATTATAGATGACATCAATAAATTTAAACTGCTCATTAAACTTCGAGACAACGGACACTATCACCAGTGTGACTGAATTCAACCTAGTTTAAGAGATTAATCACAAGGGGCTAAATGGTCTGACTCAAAAAGGGCGTGTTCACAAAAATTTCACAAAATTTTATCCATCAACCAACCGAATTGAAGTAGTGTTCACAGCTACACGTTTCCGAAAATCAGTGTGCATACTGTATTTTTGAAAGGTGTGAAACTCAAAAAATAATGAGTATGCTGACCTGTTGTCGTTGTTGTAAAGTTTTCTGTATGCACCCTTTTTTTCTATTTTTTAAATTTTTTACACAGGTACGATCAAGACTATCAAAAACATGTTTCAAACAGTTATCTAATGCTGTGACCATAATGGATGGATTTTATGAAGGCTTATATTTATGGATTACATTAAATTTTCTAAATGATCGTTTGTCACAAAGAAAGATGAAGGTGACGTTTACTGGTGATGACAAGCAGAGTTCACTTGTCCAACAACAGACAACGATTGGTACATTGGATTTAGGGGGCGGGTCGACACAGATCACGTTTATTCCGACGGAATTAAATACCATTAAGAATTCACCGATTGGTTATATTACTAACTTTAGTCCAAATGGAAAGGAAAATAAGGATTTTCAGGAAAAGGTGAGTTTTTTATATGTGTGTTTGTGTGGATTCTTACTATAACACTTGAATTCTAGTGAGAAGTTGTGACTAGTCATTAGGTCGACCATTAATTCATTAATTCAACTCACGGGATGACAGAGTTTAGTAGTGTGGATATGACCTTCATAGACTTTAGCGAAATAGGAATTGACTTGCGACCTGCTGAGAACACAGTCAAATAATGCTGCATAACTGATTTGAACCGACTCCTCATAGTTTAAGTTGTAGGATGTGTAGTGGTTGAGCATGTTGACCGCCTCACTTACTTAAGAGGTTGCATCTCCCCCTAATGGATTGATTAATTACTGGTAAAATCTTAGTACGGATACAAAACACCGTGTAGTGTTTGATAAATTACATAATCTCGAATGTAGACATGATATCCTGCTATTCATCAAAGGGGATGTGTTTGATGCTTAACAGTTCACTCTGTCCTTCCCAATGGCTATGCAACATAGAGTGTCAGGAATGAAGGGTAAGTCAGTCTATGAAGTTTTAAAAGTGTGCATCGATTGAGATGACTAGGACACGCGTTACTTATGCCAAGCAACTGCCTTTCTCAGCAGGCAGGGCAAGCTAACATGTGATTAGGTTAGTGTCTTAGGAGAAGGAGCAAGACTTGTGATATGCCAAAATTAAGTCACCTCTCTCCACCATATTACATCATACCATATACCATAAAACGAGAAAAAACAATACTCAAAGACTGCTAGTATCTTCAAGGTTTGTACTTTAAGCATTTGTGTAGTACACACATCTTTTGATCAGATGCCAGGTATCACGCATCCGCGCCGGAGATGATATCAATTGGTGAAGGCCAGAATAACCTTCGGTATCTTTGCTGAGGTTTCATCAACAAGGCAGATTCAACTTCGTGAATATGTGAAGTGTGTTCAGATCACATTGGTGTGGCATCATCTTACATTTGACACGAGGCGAATCATATGCCTAACTATAACCATGCTCCTAATATTGTGGTCATCGAAGAATGTGGTAACTGAAGCTGTGCACTATTGTCTCACAATTAATACTACTGATTCATGTAACTTCCTCATCCAGAAATTTCGCATCTAATCGCAACATTTTTTTCCTAAGCAAGTGAAATTATTGTTGTCGTTAGAAACATGTACTCGTTTCACATATTCTTTTATCTGTTGAATATATATCCCAGAGAAATAAATTAGCATCTGGCTAACTGCTACAAAGTTCACACCTTTTGATGTGGTGTCATATTATTTCGGTTGAGCCGAAGATGATTTAAGTTGGTTAATACCAAATGATTATTTTGTATCGGTGCTAGTTTTCAATATTACTCTAACTGATGTGTCAATCTGTGATCTTACGTGAAACTTTTTTCTTACTCGGATTCAATTAACACAGCTCTAGATTGTTTAGTTGGTTGGAGTGTAGGCTATCATCAGGAAATTATGAACATACTGAGGTTTCATATATGTCCACACTCGGTGTCTACCAGACATATCCGTAGCCTTGGTTCACACGCGGTGCTGTAGTAAGAGACACGTTATCGCTAAACTAATTTTGTTGAAGATGTTATGTACTCGTCGAGTAGTTAATTGTCCTGACGCGAAAAGGGAAAAATCAGAAGGCCACCACGTTCACGAAGTTATGTGTATTTTCCAGCAAAGAAAATTGACTGTCACACAAGTGTGTGAGTGAAAGGGTATGCTAGTGTACGGAAGGTGTGAACAAGTGTGTATAAAAAGTGTGCAATACAAAAGTATATACGAAAATGACTAATATATATGACTATATATGACTAATATATATATATCTTAATTTTGATCTCTCATACTCTCTCTCTCCCCTTATCTATTTGAACATGACCTGAAAAATATTCGCACCTGTCTCTCTGCATGATTAATTCAATGTAGTTTGTTTACTTATCAGTCTTATATCTCCCTATGTAATTTCAAAAGTATATATATTCGTGTATGTAGAGTATTCAACTTATCAGTCTTATATCTCCCAATGTAATTTCAAAAGTATATATATTCGTGTATGTAGAGTATTCAGCTGACGAGTTCTACCGAAATTTGATGAATTCATTAAATCCTGCTTTATTAACCTTTATTGCTTGTTTTAAATTCGTATCGGGAAATAAATGTTTTAATATATATGAACCAATAAGATAGACGTCTTACCATGGTTGGGTTCTGATTGGTTGTAATGTCATGTGACAAAAAGGTCATACATTGTGTATTAAGTTATTGTAGAGACAGAGCATATTGTGAGTTATAATGGAATATCGATCAATATACACATAGCAAAATATATTAGACTATCAAAAACAAAATACACATGTGAATACATAACAGAACAATAACCTTTTACAGGGCTGTGAGTTGAATGCTTAGGTCAACGACTCACATCACTACGGTGTTGGCTTGTCGAGAATTGATAAGTTTCACGTTTTGGTCACCAATAGATATCAGTTAAATGATCATCTGGTCCTGGTCAGTGCTAATTTTAGGCACAAAAAGAGACACTTCGTAACCTGGCGACCTTTATAACTAAATCAACACTGAACTCAGATAGACCACATAGCAATAGGGTATCGTTGTCGAGGGGCAGTAGAAGACTGTCGCTCCTTCTGGAACACGTGCGTAGACTCCGATCACGCCCCAGTTCGCTCAATTTTATGCTTGCGACTAAACGGACATAAGAAATTGTTGGCAGCAAAGCAGTTCCGTCCCCGACTCGGACGAGACTCTGAGTCCCCAGTTAAGGTGGAAATAGCGAAACGTGTATCTGAAGTCGACAGCAGGACTCTCCGTGAGGTAGCCGGCACAACATACAGTTAACTGTAAACACAGCTGCAAAAGCTGTTAATAACCTAAACCCAAAAGTTAGTAAGAGCAATTGGACCATGACTGTTAAGGGGATGCTGAGAAAATAAATTGCACTGATCGAGGCACTCACTCTAATCGAATTCATACAGCCAGGTGAGAGCTCACGGCGAGTTGTCATCTGAAGTGGTGACAACTAGCAGTGTCCGCCCCACTATCCCCATTTCTATTCAGTTTCAACGTAGACAGTGTAGGAAGGTATAAACTTCCTGGGTTGAGGTCGTTGGGATGGTAAAAACCAATGGCTGGACAGAGTTGGTGATATGGCTCAAAATCGTTCCTAGTGGCTCATGTGAATCCACTCCGTGTGACTTACGATATCCAATGAAACTATATTGTTCTTCGATATTACTATTCTTTTTGCCTCATATCATCTCTCTTTACCGTCTCTATGTTGCATTTCTTCTCTTGCTTTGTGTGCTACATGGAGTGTGGCGACTCGAACTGCTGCACATCGGTGCAAAGTTCTGTGTTGAAACCAGTCAGAGGCTACCGGGAAGTGATAACCGTCCGCACACATTTTATCTCGTGTTGTTCATCCTATACTTGTTATAATGTTTTAGTTATCGCTAAAAACCTAAAAAAATTTTAAAAATGTGTATACATGCCTTATTTTTTTCTGTGTACAGATTTATTCGCATAGTTATCTTGGACTGGGGTTAATGTCAGCGCGTTATTCAATGTTGCATACTGCAACTAGTTACGTCAATGTTCAGTCTTCTCAACCACCGGATGGCAAGAAACAATTGTTTTATCCATGTTGGCCTAATAATATGACTGTGAGTTCAGTTGAATACGTTTGTGTTTTTTCCCATTTTCTATATTCTTTTTTTGTTCTCTGTTGATTAATGATTAACTTAAGCTGTTGAATTTGGGTTCGAGTCCCACTCTGCCTACTTAAGCGCCTGAGGCAACGGAAACTAAGGTTAGTAGTAGTAGGATCAACCTTCCTGTCATAATTTAAAGAGTGCAAGTCATCATATAGAATTGTGGGAGAGGTAGGAATTTTCAATGCCAACATTACGAGTTAAACAGTGCTTTTATAATATGGTTCTATACTGAAGATAAGATTGACAGTCAGAAAAGAGGATAAGTAACATACAACAAGGAACTCTGGTACACAACGAACTGACCAACTAACAAAACAATTATCCAACAAATATGCAGAAGGGAATGAAGATTCTCATAAAATGGTGTACTACTGATTATTTGGGATGAGTAGTTGCATGTCAGTCATATGAATCAGCAGTGCTTCCTAGTCATGTCGAGGTGATCTAAACACACGATGGCTGTTTCGCTCGTTTGGGACCAAACGCATCGGTAGTATGCCTGGAAATGAAGATTGATGGTGTGAAAGTACTCCTTGAGGAGAGACTGTTGAGTGATATCTCATGCTTGGTAGGTCATCGAGTGGAATCAGAACGGGAAATGAGCAGTGATTTGAACTCTTTTCCGAGGTTGACTTGGCGGAGATTGTGTGATTATGATGATGAGGAAATAAAAACTAGCTATTAATAAGGACTTCAGAGAATCAAGTGGACGAAAGAGTCTTTGACTATTACGGAACAGTTGTCCAGTCCACCGTAGTCTTTAGTGATCCCTAAATCTCTTATCTATATCGAAATGATTTCATAGTATCAAAATCACTCAGTCGCTTTTATAATGCCTTTTTATTGCCCTTCATTTATAGCTCACCTGGAATCATGCTGGTTATGATTGGGAGATTAAGCAAATGAATCAATCAGTGGTGATGACACCGCATCTTTTGTCTTCTCTAATGATGACGAAATCAAGTGACAAGCATATATCTGGTGAATTAATCAATAATAGTTACTCATCTGTGTGTTATTCTCTGGCGTTATCTGTATTACAAAATCCTGTAGAAGGTAAATATTCCTACTTTGTCTTCTTTTTCATGAATTCATGTTATATGTCGTGGTTTATAACATATAGCACTGATTAAGGCACTCTACTCGTACTCATACAGCCAGGTGAGGGCTTACGGCGAGCTGTCATCTGAACTGGTGACGACCAGTGGTGTCCGTCGAGGATGCCCATTATCTCCTTTTCTATTCAACTTCATCATAGATGTGTTAATGGACTTAACCCTAAGTGACTTCAGCGACTCAGGGATTGACTTGCTACCGGGGAATAATCTCGTTGACTTGGAATATGCAGACGATATAGTCCTTCTAGGCGAAGACGCTGACGAAATGCAAAGTCTTCTGAACACCTTGAGCTGTAATCTACGAATGTTTGGCATGCGATTCGCTCCCGCCAAACGCAAGATGATGTTACAGGACTGGACTACATCGACGCCTAGTTTAAAAATAGGAAGTGAAGTGGTAGAGCACGTTGACCGCTTCACTTATTTGGGAAGTACCATCAGCCAACGCCAACGGGTTGATCTCTGACGAAATCTCAGCACGAATACAGGGGGCTCGTTTCACATTTGCCAGTTTACGCCGACTCTGGCGTAGACGAGATGTTCGACTATCGACCAAAGGGCGGGTGTACTGCTCATCAGTCCGCTCCGTCCTCCTTTATGGTTGTGAGACCTGGCCACTGAGAGTGGAAGACATGAAAAGACTAGCTGTCTTTGATCATAGGTGCCTGCGCTTTATTTCCCGTGTAAAGTGGCATAATAAGGTGAGCAACATTGAAGTTAGGCGTCGAGTGCTAGGTAAACAGGGGAAATCAATCGACGAAGTGGTGAAGTTACAAAGACTGAGATGGTTAGGACATTTGTTACGTATGCCTAGTCATCGCCTTCCTCGACGAGCAATGTTAGCGGATATAGGGTCAGGCCGGAAAAAAGCTAGCGGAGGTCAAAAAAAAACTTGGCACCAGTCAATGAAATCCACAACAGTTGGTCTAAGCCACGTAGGAAGGTATAGACTTCATAGCTGGTTGGGGTCCTCGGGACGGTAAAAATCTATGGTTGGAAACAATTGGTGACATGGCTGAAAATCGTTCTCAGTGGCGCAGATGCATCCACTCCTTGTGACTTATGATCTCCAATGAAACTGTTTTGTTCTTCGTTATTACTCCTCCTTTGTCTCACACCTCTGCTCACTGTTTCTATTATGCTTTTCTTGTACTTTCTTCTCTTGCTTCGCGTGCTACACGGAGTGTGGCGACTTGAACTTCCGTACATTTGTGCAAAGTTCTATGTCAAAACAGATAGACAGACAGACAGACATGTCGTGGTTTATTTAAACACAAACTTGGTATATTATGGACGCTACAAAGAGATGCTCTATACCAGGATGCTCACTGCCCAGATTAGAAAGTTAAATTAAAGCAGATGATGGTTGTCACCCTCCCGTCACCGTCACCTTGAACCTTTCACTTGAAGTGTGATCCACAAGGCAGTGCTCTGTGGGGGAAGCGTCAGGTGGGAGTATTTGCGTTCTTCATGGTTACCGGTCATCCGGGAGAGAGAGGTTTATGTACGCCATTCGACCCTTATGAACTTTGGACCCCAAGTACATACACACACACCTTAGGTTTGGAAACAATATGGGTTTTCAGCTCTGCTATGTATGCAGAACACTAGCATGTTCACCAGTGATAGGGTTAAAAGCTACGGAAGGTTGTTCACATTCGCCGCTTTATTTTTGTGAGAATCACCCAATGGTCTCCGCGTGAAGCAGTGAATAGGATATATGTAGCACAGATTATGAACACGTAGCCATATGAGGAAATATGCAGTTGATGTTCTTCTGTTTGATTTTATATGAGAGTCCTTTTAATTACATCGACCGAGTTAAGATGAGAGACACCACTCCACTAGTCACTAACTACAGAATCAATTTGTTAGTAGTTCTATTGAGTAAGTGATGACTAGTAGAGTCAACACCAGTGAGTCGTCAAGTTTGAAGACATGCTGACCAATGGCATTGGCGGTGTACATATTCTGTCAAATGATAGAAGTTAGAATATATATATATATATATATATATATATATATATATATATAAGTTCGTTTCTTTGTTCTAGATAATCTTATATGTAGGTAGGAGTTCACTAGTCACGTCCTCATTGAATTACAGTTTCAGGAACAATTACCTCTTTCTAACCGTTGTTGGTTTTTTTTGTTATACTCATATGTGAGGGCGAATGCCAGCCAATGACAACATTGTTGAGTGGTGATTGTGAAATCCTGGGTCAGTGGATTCCATCATCTCAGTAGCTGAATAGTCTGGTTGGTTACGTCTTATGAATGAAACTTATCAAGCTGGTTTGTTTCCATCATTTCAATGAAGAGATCTTGATTCTGATTTCCTGCCTTGTTTACTCTTCTCTCGTCTACTCTAAAGGTGATGGCAACACGACGAGATATCCACCAAATAATTTTATTGTTCATCAACCAGACGAGGTGAAGACGCTAGAATTCTACGCATTTTCTTATTATTTTGACCTTGCTGTTAGTGCTGGACTAATTGATGAAGATAATGGTGGATTTTTAACGGTTGGAGATTTTTATAAAGCTGCGAAACATGGTAAGTTTTGGTATTTGAGATATTTTTGGGGGTTATATTGAAAGATCGTCTTGAAGTTATGGTAGGTGTATCTGCGTATCTGCACCATCGTTTGAATTATTCTTTCAAACTTTACTTTCATGAAATTCGTCGATTAACGTTTTCTCTGTACCCTTAAAGTTCGATGCCTAATTTAATTATGGCTTCCAAAGATTCGCAAGTCTGGATACTTGCTGAGAGAGATGCTTCTTTAGATAAATCGATATCCAGTCCATATCATAAGATTGTTAAAATGAGTTAAGGTGGTAAAAATACACCCGTAAAATATTCTACTCATCAGTGCACTGTATAGGAAGTTCACGAGATCTTGTTGACTAACATACTGGGAACTATTAAACATTAAGACAAGGGTTATGTGCTCAATCAACATAGTAATACCAGATGTTCATCACCAATATATTCTGCTTGACACAAGACTTTTTATCTCATTTGCGATTATATTGTAACATATATCTATAATATATATCATTTTATAACTAATCGTTGCTCATGTGATTTTGGTTTACATTAAACCATATGAAATAGAATGTTTAAATAAATATATATTCTGTTACTAATGCATTATTGAACTGTGGGAATAGTATTCAGACGTTGACACCAACATATACATATGATTCTTGCTGGAAGAATAATATTCTGTTGGAACACATTTTCTGTGTCACACAACAACAACATCACAAACATTGCAATATAATTACTGTTTTATCTGTCACTTACATCAAAGATGGTATCTTGACAAGTGCAGAAAGTATTAGTCGATTTCCGAGGGGAAGTACACAAACAAATCGATGTTGTTGCTATGCGGAGCTCTATTGTTAGCGCATGTATTTACGTATAAATTGAAGAAAGAAATGTAAGGTATGCAACAAAGAGACTTTATGCTGTATGAACGTTGGCTATGGATCATAGGCTTATCATTGATGACAGTAATGAGTCGATTGACAACTTCATTACTTCATTCAAATGAATGATATTCATTCAAATATCAATGTTACTTAACAGAATTTGAATAGAATGACAAACTGGATATCCTGGAGATTGCAATGACGAGGCAGGAAGACATCAAAATGAAGTGATCAATATTTTGCAACCATTCATAAAGTGAACAATTTCTTTATTTCAGCAATTTCGTTTCTTATACATTTGGTCGAGCATCACCTAGTGAAATGCCTGTTTTCAAAGGCCCGCCTGACACATTTATTGAATCGCTTGAAAATGCCCATTGAGTCATATGAAAAAGAGAAGACGTTCACCGAAGAGACTGTTTTCGGCGAATTCATTCACACAGCTGTACAATCGCATATATATATACAACTATTTGTGTGTGTGTGTGTGTGTATATGAGGTTTGTCAAGTTTAGATAATTGATCAGGTAATAAAAGAATGATCTCATACAGAATCAAGGTTAATTAGATAGCAACTGAAGTAAGATTGAGTTAGTAAGTTAGATGACGTCATATAATTGACTAAAATGTTTCAACTTAGGTCAAGGTAGCAACGGAGGTAATTACATGTAGAGACTGAGCAGAAGTGGGGTAGAGAATAATACCATTTAATTTCAGGATTTCATCATGAGCTGACATTAGTTAGAGAACCATTGGAAAACCTGGGAGTACTGGACAGCTGTTTCGTCCTAGTTTGGGACTCTTCAGCAGTACACACCCACAGCTGTCCAGTACTCCCAGGTTTTCCAATGGTTCTCTAACTAATGTCAGCTCATGATGAAATCCTGAAATCAATCAAATCCCTACAAACCAACACTTGAATACCATTTAAATTAGAACTGAAATTGTGTAAATATATTGGACGACGTAACATAAATGACTAGAAATTGAGCGTTGGTCAAGTCATGGCATTATTCTCTACTCCACTTCTACTTAATATCTACTTGTAATTACCTCTGTTGCTACCTTGACCTAAGTTGAAACATTTTAGTCAATTATATGGTGTCATCTAACTTACTAACTCAATCTTACTTTAGTTGCTGTCCAATTAACCTTGATTCTGTATGAGATCATTCTTTTATTACCTGATCAATTATCTAAACTTGAAAAACCTCATATACACACACACACACAAATAGTTGTATATATATATGCGATTGTACAGCTGTGTGAATGAATTCGCCGAAAACAGTCTCTTCGGTGAACGTCTTCTCTTTTTCACATTTATTGAATCACCTACGGTGCATACATTCAATTGTATTGACTAGTGGATATTCTAAAAAACTTCACTGTATGTCACAGTAAAAAAACAAAAAAAGACAGCCTTACTACTAAAGAAAGTTATTCAGTTTTTATTAGACAACAGTTGAAGAGTGGTCAAGTCGTGCCAATTGACAGCTCGAAGGCTTCGGTCAGCTATCAAGTACACATTCCATATACTCCACATCCTATCTTACAACTTAAAGATTTTTACTTCCTTTGTCTACGATTAAAAGACGAAATTTTTTGGACTCTGCTTTCTATGTTGTATGTGCAACGTAATCTGTAATTTCAGAGCATATATATATATATATATATATACAATAACCCTGGACACTAATGCACTACTCCTGAACCTCACTCGCCCGTTCGTAAGTCTGATAAATAGGGAAAGTTGGATGGCAATGCAACTAGCATCCCCACTTTGTTATGTGAAGAATAACACCACTGCTACTGAAACATCAAAATTAAGTTAGATAGCCAACCCAAATATATTTATTCTGATGATATTTATATTAACAATCGGCTCTTTAATCCTACAACGCCTTCTCTTCGCTTTTCTCTTACTGTACCTGTGAGTGGGTGGGTGTCTTAACGTTTTCTGATTAATTCTAATACTCTACCACAGTGCACAAGTTCTATTCTTATATCAATGTTCTGATGAATACTTCTTCTAGCCACTGTAATGATCATGTGACAGGAACCTTTTCTCATGAGAGAATCACGTGTTTGTGCATTTAATATGTGTTGATAGCTTAGTTAATAATAGGATAGCAAATGATGATTCATGCGAGATTATGATGACAAACAGTATCCTTTTCTGGCCCGATTACAAACTGACACTGAAAACCATGGCTTAAAAGGATCTGTTTCGTTCTCCTAGTTCCGGACTCTTCAATGGTGAGTAACCCACTCCTAAAGAATCATATCACCTAGTGACTACAGTTGATGATGAGGCGAACACGTTTACTACTGTTCGACCAGCCTTGTTGGGACCACAATTCAACGACGTGTGTGAAGTATAAAGGAGTTCAAGACCGAACCTTCTCTGGGCACACACACATACAAAATTCGGGCTTACTCAGTACCTTTTACATTAATATACATACATGTGTGGGGAAACATAACACCCCTTGTGTATACACTGCTTAGGCTTTTTAAAAGGCAACTCCAGTGGAGCTACACGTTGATGACTTTAGTTAGTGAGATGGACAGCTGTTTCCGTAGCAGTACTCACCCTCCATAACTGACGCTACTACGGATGAGAATTAAACCACCCCATGATCTTCAAGGTTAAGAGACAAGTGTGTTGACTACTGGTTGATTCAGCCGCTTACTAGGTGGGGATTCAATAAACCATGAGATTTCATCAAAAATCTCCTACATAACCCATGGTATCTGACTAGTGTTTATTATTGTGCATAATTCTCATATCAGTTTCGAGATGAATATTGGCTTCATGTGCAAGGTGCTGTGTAAATGGCGAGTGTAGCCGCTTGCGGCTTGAAAGAATGCTCCACTAACAACCACTGGGTTTCTGCGAGTTCCTTGCAACTCCTGGATGAACGCCGGCCCATTCCGGCTGGCAGCGAATACAACAATCAGCGAAAGGCGCTCACGCGCAAGATTAGACAGTGTTTACGTAAGGACCGCGAAGCCTGGTAGTCAGAACGTGCGTGTGAGATGGAGTCAGCTGCTGCATCTGGCAACAGTCGGAAGCTGTTCCAACTCATCGGAGCTACCGGTGGCAAGAAACAAGGTGTCAGCGAGACGGTCTGTGAGGCAGATGGCACGCCAATTACCGGCTTAAAAAGACACCTGGAACGCTGGGCAGGACACTTCGGGAAGCAGTTTAGCTGGCCACCAGCTTCAGTGACTACTATCATTAGCCCGAGTGCTCCTTGGTCGGTTAGTAACGACCCACCCACCGAAGCGGAGGTCCGTAAGGAACTCCAAGTATTGAAAGCCATAAGGCGCCCGGCCCAGACAATTCACCCTCGGCTCTTTTTCAAGATGATGGTGAGACTCTCAAAATGGCTCTAACTGGGTTATTCAAGAAAGTATGAGAGACTGAGAGTGTACCATCAATGTGGATCGAGGCCATTATCGTCCCCCATCTTTAAAAAGGGTCGACGTTATTCATGTGATAATCAGAGGGGTATCAGTCTGCTACCAGTCACGTCTAAAAATAGTTTCGAGAGCTGTACATTTAAAGTTGGACTATAAACTAATCGACTGAAATGAGTTACCTTATGAGAACCTTTGAAAACCACCAGAAGCAAGGAGCATTGAGTAGCTGTTTTATCCAGTCTAATATGGAACTGCCTCTTTAACACTCGGCATGTGTTTAACTTCTTCTACTCCCCCTGCCACCGTTGCACATCAAGGTACACTTGAAAATTAATCTAATGTACTCATAAGTAAATGATTGACTGACTAGCTATAGAAGAATGAAATTGGCTGAACTGTTCTAATGGAAAGTCGTGACCTGTAGTGTTCATCAAATACAGCCGTATGTGAGGAGAAATACGCACTGATGACGTTGATTGTTGGTGGTGCTGTATGTATCGTGAAATGGCAGATGTTGGAATCGATAGGTCCATTGGATTCTGTGCCAGTGGGTTTGCAACCTGAACATTGTGGTTAGTTCGATCTCTGTCGATTTCATCGTGAGCGCGTGCGCACCCTACTGTTGCTCTAGGATCGTAAAGTAGGCGGGAGAAACAGCTGTCCAGTTCCCCTTTGCTATTGTTGGTAGTTTTCAGTCGTCTTCTCTAACGGACGTATTTCAGTGGTTTCGTGATCATCAATCCTTAAAACTGTATAATTTCTCTTATCAGTTTTTCCTGAAGAAGTTTCACATTTATTGAAAATATAAACCGCACTCAACAAACAAACCAATAATAAAACTTATCATTGTGTGTAAACTATTTGAATATAATTATACTTTATTTGATCTAATCCACAGTGCTCAAACTTTTTACTGATATTAAAACAAACGAACTAACCTTGTACTTTTAAGTAGTATACTAGTTTTATTCCAATTATTGATTAAATCAGTGATCTTCTGAATGGTTTTGTTTGTGCGTATATTTGGCTTGCAGGTGGTGTGAGTACTTACTGCATACATAAACCGTTGTGTCTACGATAGAGAGAGGTGTGTGTATGCGTTTGTTTGTGATCTAGTTAAGGTTACGATTTATAGGTGGGTGGTGGTGGGAATCACGTCTCATATTTATAAATATATAAAAAACATAAACCACAAGATTTTCGAGTGGGGTATTACTTTCATTTTGTTATGTCTGTTATTATGGTTTTTGTAATCAGACAGTCAACCAAATGAAATACTTAATATTTATTCAAGCCTTTATGTTTACGAGTTTACAGTTAGTCTGTGACCACCACTTCTAACTGTCTTCCAACCTAATCCTACCTATTTCAGCTAACATTGCTCGTCGACGAAGTCGGTTGCTCAGTATGCGTAACACATGTTGTCCTTGCCATCTCAACCGATGCACAGCTTCACTTCCTCATTCACTAACTTACCCTCTCAACCAACTACCTAACACTCGAAGCCTACCACTTAAGATAGAAGATAGAACGCTAACATATGTGATCAAATATGCCAAACCTTTTATGCTCTTCTGTGCTGGAGAATTATGGGAAATAGAGTAAAGACAAAAGCGCATCACTGACTCACTGCTGGAATGCTCGACAACCACTCGGGTGGTTTTGATTCAATTCAGTGCATTCAGGTCTAAATCCCCACTTCGAAGACCAGTTGTGTCATATACCCTACTCCTTAGCCATTCCTTCTGGGCCCTAAGATATAATGAGATCATGTTAACTGAGTGCGATGTTACAACGATAGGGATGCTCTCCAGCCGATGCAAGTGGTCCGACTTCGATTCTAGACAGATTTACTTTTAATCCTTCTGCCTAGTTTACTAGCCAGTAATAGTAGTAAAGGAAGTTTAGCAACGCCCCTGTAAATACAACACCACTGTCACTGTTAGTGAAACTTCAAAGTATACACAACCAGATGTTCCAGATTTGGAACGCTTAAAGGTATGCGAGAAACAGGACAAGAATGTGAGTTTTGATTACATAATTTAGTAAAATACCACATCGATAATTTATTCACTCACTAATTACGCTTTTTCTCTGTGTTTTTTTAAATAATTTTTTGCAGTTTGTCAGAATCCAGACCCCAAGAAACCATTCGATTGTATGGATCTTAACTTTGTTACTGCTTTACTGCATAATGGTTATGGATTTCCATGGGACAAAAAGATAGGAGTAAATATTATTATTATTATTATTGTTATTGTAACTTTAACAAAAACAAAACACGTAGTTCAGCAAAGCGGCTCTTTTCGGCGAATTCAGTGTCCCCTCTAGCTTCACAATCTGATATAAATATACAGTCTCTTTTTCGTGAAGAAGAGTAGTAACCTAAGTGATGAATTGTTGTCCCAAGCGTTGTTTTTAATATTGGTCAATACATAAAAGAAGTTGAATAAGCTTAATACAGTTACGTAATAAGATGATTAGTTGAATAAGTCTATTGCGATTAGGATGCGCATAGAATCGAAGGAAAATATAGAATTATGTAAGAGTTCCGATGAAATACAAGAGTTGTAAGGAGTTAGAAAAACAAACAAACGAACGAAAATCAAGTGAGTAGAAATCAGCAAATTTTTTACCATGGCAGTAGAAGTGATCGAATAATTTTCTTTGGATACAGATCGCCGGTTTTTCTACCTGAAGGGCTAAAGCTTCACCAATGCAAAGATGACGAAGGCGTATTAACTTTGACAGGTTATTCTCAACTCTGTGGATTACTTTGAAGAAGACGTTTGTTGAGATGGAATGAACCAGTGGTTTTGACAAGCTGTTTTGGTGATTTCACTCTTTATAGACCCAAATACAACTTATTTGCAACATGTCGAATCACTAATATACCTGGCTCCACAGGAACAGGTAGTCAGATATGCGATCGATCTCCTTCTGGTTTCTGTAGACCAGTGAACGACTGGCGAAGACTATTTGTTACCATATCTGCAAATAATATTCTTTTCAAAGATGTTGGAATTCTTTATTAAGGATATCTGTGGTTAAGTCCCCCTTGAAATCCATGTTCAAGTAAAATTTCTTTTTTGAAACAAGTTACGTGAACACAAAATGCATAGGGTAGACAACTGCTTGAGGCCGGTGTGATGAATTGGTTTTGGAAGTTGTGCATTCGTATGAAGTTCCTGTCGCCACTAGATAAGTTGGAATGTAGAATGCTCGTGGTAGACCTCTCCTCCCCTCTTCAGAATAATAAGCTTAGCATAGTGGGTTTACTACCGCATCCCTTTTGGCCAGTGGTAAAGCTTCAGCTTCAAACCCTTTAACACTAACTGGTGTTAATCCAACCACTATCCAAAAAATGCTTTAGGCATAGTGAGACCTGTGGGAACATTTATTACTGTTGCCAGTGTCTGTCCTTCTTGTCAGTCACACAAACTTATACACTGTAAAACTACATTAAACGAGGCAACAGTAAGTTTTAATGAAACTGCAATGAACAAATTAATGTGGAAAAATTAAGAGTAGTTTTGCATGTATTTGCATTGCTGTGTGTCGATAGTCAAAGCGTAGAATACTTGTTAGTGCAGGTTCAATGTCCTGTCTGATGATATCCTTTACTTCTCCTTGAAAAAGAAGAAATGTTGAACTTTGTCAAAATAATAACACCACGGCCATTAAAATTTCAAAAGATTGGTAAGTTCTGCACTTGGAATGGCACACATAAGCTGATCCTCTAAATAGCGTCAGTGGCATAGTGGTTAGGATTCTCGCCGACCATGCATATGGTCTGAGGTTCGATCCCCTGCCGACGCACCCCTGATATCTATGATCGGCCTGAAAAATTTGGGCTACCAATATCACATGCTGAAAATTCCATACTTGTACCAAAAATACGGTGTGATTTCAAGCTGTAATCAAAAAAAATATAAAAAGTCATGTGTTTCATCTAAGTTACGAGTAGAGGTTTTTATTATTATTGCGAAATCTGTGTTTCTGCCTTCATTTCCTTATCCTCGATTCCATGAAGTCGCTTCCAGTTGGCTCCATGACTACCTATAATCTGCTTCTATTGCCTCATCATCATGTGATCATCCATTTTTGGACTCTCAACTTGCCTCTTCTTCCTTCAGCCTCTACTCCAGGGTATTGCTGACGTGTGATATTTAAATGTCTTTTGAGCGTATGTTTAAGTTAATCATCTCCATTTTTCCTTCTGCTTGTTTGTTGGGCCAAGGGGGTTGTACAGTTAATTTGCTACTAGAGTTGCTTTCTGCTTATCTTCTTTTTAACCGGTCGCCTGATCTTCACCATCAAGACAATGAAGACCGGTTTTGATGAAAGTCTGTGAGGGCGTATCAGTAACCCCCACATCAAGTGTATGAACGTGGAATCATTGGTTTAGTTGGCGTTAATATTGTGCTAACTGCTGTAGTCAAGTATCATGATACATATTACTTATTCTATTATTTCTACTTAATTTTTAGCAATAATTTTGTTTTCTTTAGTTTTTCAGAAAAGTTAAATCATTTGAAATTAATTGGAGCCTTGGTGCCTTATTCTCAGAAATGTATAATTGATAATAATCATAATAAAAACTTTTCTAATAAATAGAATAAGAACGCATTTTCGCGTACATAGTCCATTGTTCAATGTCGTTCCTTGTTTATTCGAAGTAAATAAAAATAAAACACGTCCATTTGATCAAATTTATCGTTGCAAGAGCAGAAAGCAACATTATTATTTTGAAATATATGTTATATCCCTTCCTTTCCTTTCAATTTCTTATATTTTGTCTTTTGTTATTTTTATGTGTAATGTGTGAATTTCATTGTTTGGATGTTTCGTTTTTATCCCCTTCACATATATAAAGAGAATATAATTAATAATTTATTGTGTGTACAAGAATTCCCTTTTGCTATTGCGTGCGTCGGTGGCACAGCGGTTAGGGGGCTCGCCGACCATGCACATGGTCCGGGGTTGGATCGCCGGCCGACCCACTCCTTTACCTCGCTAAGCCAGAATAAATGCTGGTTAAGAGGAAAGGTTGGGCATGAAGTTAGCAAACCTATTCTGTAAAAATAAACACTGCTACAGAAACTTCAGGCCACTAGCTTGAAGCCCTATGTTCCACTGGGAACGTGAAGGGAAAAAAATTGCGTTGAGTACTCATTTCAGGTGATCTGATCTGTGAATAATTTACAAGTATGTTTGTATTACACTTTGGTTGTTCACTTATCGTGAATGTTTCATTTTTGTTATATATGTATATATATATATATAATCCCCAACTCGACATTAATGAAAAAAAAACACATAGTTCAGCGAAAAGTCTGCTTTCGGCGGCGAATCCATTCATTTAGCAGTACAGTCACTATTATCTATACTTATTTTTGTATATGTGTACATAAGGTTTCTCCGATAAGGATAAAAATATATTAGGGTTATTGTTGCCAAGACACTTCAAAAGTGTGATGAATAATCAAACTGTAAGTAGGTCGGTGGAGCGGGAGGGCGAAAATTCGTAAGGATGTAGCGGTGATCCTTTGTCAAAAAATATAGCTATTAATGTTGATCGACACATCAAAAAAAATTTGAATAAGCCTCGTACAGTAACGTAATATGGCGAGAAGTTCAATGAGTGAGTTGTAATTGGTATCTACATAAAAACAAAACAAAACTTATGGTATTATAAACCTCACAAGGGTTAAAAGGACTTAAAAGAAGAGAACAAAGGCATAAAAACATAGAGCCATTAGAAAAAACGATTGTTTCCAATCACATAAAAATAACTCGGATGAATTCCTTCTATACAGAAACCAGTACCTGTCCAAATTCACAAAGATTTAGCACTATATTTCAAAAACCAACGCAACATATACAAAAAAAAACCCAACGATAAACCACAGAAGCTAGACAGCCACTTCGCGAATATCGCTGCTCTATTTCTCTCACTCACTCACTCACTCTACATATCTATCTCTGAATATCTTTGAATCACTCTGAATCTCACTGTATCATCTTATCTATGCATGTATCTGCCTCAATCTCCCTCGAGCTGTCTTTGTCTCTGAAGGTTGATTTATCCTAGAAGAATGTGAAAAGGGGAAGGGGAATACTTAGTCAGACGTGAGCACAGAGTCCACGGGGAAAGCTGTTACACGGCCTGTTTGAAGTAAGATATGTATCTGTAGAGAAAATCTTGTCGTCGAAGTTGCATCTGCCGGCTGACAGTGAGTCAGGACGCATAGGTTTTCACACGAACTTTGTTAATTCCTCCCTCCATAGAATAGAAGTATGGCATAGGTGGCTTGCTAGTCGTCGTCTCAGGCGAACACATTACTTCTCTTGCACCCCTCCCGATCTAGCTATCTCTCAGACTGCCAACTCTCCGACACTATCTTCACTAGAAAATTCTCAGTGTGTCAAGATTCTGACGCGGGTTGATTTGTCACTCACACACCTTACACATGATAATAGTTACACGCAAGATTTCGTGACAGCATTGAGCACAGCTTTTGCACACTGCTAATTGTAAACTGCCACACTAAGTAAGGTGAGTACTGAGGTGGTAAATAGTGTTGAAAGGAAACTCCAGTCGGTGGCAGGACTTCAAGGAGGAGAGAGCGAAAGAGAGTGATGGACAGGGACAGGTCGATTTACAGGTTGAGATGTAGAGGCAGAGAGCGAGCGAGCGAGGCGAGAGAGAGAGACTGGGATTGGTGTGGTAATCCAAGTGTACACAGGTTAGTTAGCCACTTCGCGAATATCGCTGCTCTATTTCTCTCACTCACTCACTCACTCACTCACTCACTCACTCACTCTACATATCTATCTCTGAATATCCTTGAATCACTCTGAATCTCACTGTATCATCTTATCTATGCATGTATCTGCCTCAATCTCCCTCGAGCTGTCTTTGTCTCTGAAGGTTGATTTATCCTAGAAGAATGTGAAAAGGGGAAGGGGAATACTTAGTCAGACGTGAGCACAGAGTCCACGGGGAAAGCTGTTACACGGCCTGTTTGAAGTAAGATATGTATCTGTAGAGAAAATCTTGTCGTCGAAGTTGCATCTGCCGGCTGACAGTGAGTCAGGACGCATAGGTTTTCACACGAACTTTGTTAATTCCTCCCTCCATAGAATAGAAGTATGGCATAGGTGGCTTGCTAGTCGTCGTCTCAGGCGAACACATTACTTCTCTTGCACCCCTCCCGATCTAGCTATCTCTCAGACTGCCAACTCTCCGACACTATCTTCACTAGAAAATTCTCAGTGTGTCAAGATTCTGACGCGGGTTGATTTGTCACTCACACACCTTACACATGATAATAGTTACACGCAAGATTTCGTGACAGCATTGAGCACAGCTTTTGCACACTGCTAATTGTAAACTGCCACACTAAGTCAGATGAGTACTGAGGTGGTAAATAGTGTTGAAAGGAAACTCCAGTCGGTGGCAGGACTTCAAGGAGGAGAGAGCGAAAGAGAGTGATGGACAGGGACAGGTCGATTTACAGGTTGAGATGTAGAGGCAGAGAGCGAGCGAGCGAGCGAGCGAGAGAGAGAGAGACTGGGATTGGTGTGGTAATCCAAGTGTACACAGGTTAGTTAGCCACTTCGCGAATATCGCTGCTCTATTTCTCTCACTCACTCACTCACTCTACATATCTATCTCTGAATATCCTTGAATCACTCTGAATCTCACTGTATCATCTTATCTATGCATGTATCTGCCTCAATCTCCCTCGAGCTGTCTTTGTCTCTGAAGGTTGATTTATCCTAGAAGAATGTGAAAAGGGGAAGGGGAATACTTAGTCAGACGTGAGCACAGAGTCCACGGGGAAAGCTGTTACACGGCCTGTTTGAAGTAAGATATGTATCTGTAGAGAAAATCTTGTCGTCGAAGTTGCATCTGCCGGCTGACAGTGAGTCAGGACGCATAGGTTTTCACACGAACTTTGTTAATTCCTCCCTCCATAGAATAGAAGTATGGCATAGGTGGCTTGCTAGTCGTCGTCTCAGGCGAACACATTACTTCTCTTGCACCCCTCCCGATCTAGCTATCTCTCAGACTGCCAACTCTCCGACACTATCTTCACTAGAAAATTCTCAGTGTGTCAAGATTCTGACGCGGGTTGATTTGTCACTCACACACCTTACACATGATAATAGTTACACGCAAGATTTCGTGACAGCATTGAGCACAGCTTTTGCACACTGCTAATTGTAAACTGCCACACTAAGTAAGGTGAGTACTGAGGTGGTAAATAGTGTTGAAAGGAAACTCCAGTCGGTGGCAGGACTTCAAGGAGGAGAGAGCGAAAGAGAGTGATGGACAGGGACAGGTCGATTTACAGGTTGAGATGTAGAGGCAGAGAGCGAGCGAGCGAGCGAGCGAGAGAGAGAGACTGGGATTGGTGTGGTAATCCAAGTGTACACAGGTTAGTTAGCCACTTCGCGAATATCGCTGCTCTATTTCTCTCACTCACTCACTCACTCACTCACTCACTCACTCTACATATCTATCTCTGAATATCCTTGAATCACTCTGAATCTCACTGTATCATCTTATCTATGCATGTATCTGCCTCAATCTCCCTCGAGCTGTCTTTGTCTCTGAAGGTTGATTTATCCTAGAAGAATGTGAAAAGGGGAAGGGGAATACTTAGTCAGACGTGAGCACAGAGTCCACGGGGAAAGCTGTTACACGGCCTGTTTGAAGTAAGATATGTATCTGTAGAGAAAATCTTGTCGTCGAAGTTGCATCTGCCGGCTGACAGTGAGTCAGGACGCATAGGTTTTCACACGAACTTTGTTAATTCCTCCCTCCATAGAATAGAAGTATGGCATAGGTGGCTTGCTAGTCGTCGTCTCAGGCGAACACATTACTTCTCTTGCACCCCTCCCGATCTAGCTATCTCTCAGACTGCCAACTCTCCGACACTATCTTCACTAGAAAATTCTCAGTGTGTCAAGATTCTGACGCGGGTTGATTTGTCACTCACACACCTTACACATGATAATAGTTACACGCAAGATTTCGTGACAGCATTGAGCACAGCTTTTGCACACTGCTAATTGTAAACTGCCACACTAAGTAAGGTGAGTACTGAGGTGGTAAATAGTGTTGAAAGGAAACTCCAGTCGGTGGCAGGACTTCAAGGAGGAGAGAGCGAAAGAGAGTGATGGACAGGGACAGGTCGATTTACAGGTTGAGATGTAGAGGCAGAGAGCGAGCGAGCGAGCGAGCGAGGAGAGAGAGACTGGGATTGGTGTGGTAATCCAAGTGTACACAGGTTAGTTAGCCACTTCGCGAATATCGCTGCTCTATTTCTCTCACTCACTCACTCACTCACTCTACATATCTATCTCTGAATATCCTTGAATCACTCTGAATCTCACTGTATCATCTTATCTATGCATGTATCTGCCTCAATCTCCCTCGAGCTGTCTTTGTCTCTGAAGGTTGATTTATCCTAGAAGAATGTGAAAAGGGGAAGGGGAATACTTAGTCAGACGTGAGCACAGAGTCCACGGGGAAAGCTGTTACACGGCCTGTTTGAAGTAAGATATGTATCTGTAGAGAAAATCTTGTCGTCGAAGTTGCATCTGCCGGCTGACAGTGAGTCAGGACGCATAGGTTTTCACACGAACTTTGTTAATTCCTCCCTCCATAGAATAGAAGTATGGCATAGGTGGCTTGCTAGTCGTCGTCTCAGGCGAACACATTACTTCTCTTGCACCCCTCCCGATCTAGCTATCTCTCAGACTGCCAACTCTCCGACACTATCTTCACTAGAAAATTCTCAGTGTGTCAAGATTCTGACGCGGGTTGATTTGTCACTCACACACCTTACACATGATAATAGTTACACGCAAGATTTCGTGACAGCATTGAGCAC